GGCAAAGTTCTGTAGGCCAGCAGACATGGCTGACAATTCTGGTTGAGATTTTAGAGCTGGGAGCACATTGGATTTCAAACAAATTGAAATAGATTTTTCTGTAATTTTTAAGGGATAAAAAAGGGAATCGGATAAAAAAAAAATTCTTTGATAATTTAAATTCCCATTATCCGATAAACACTTGCTGAAATTTCAGATTGGTCTGACAGTATAACGGCACCCACTGCTGAAATGTGTTTGGATGCAGATAGTTGACCCAAGTTGAGTTAATATCAATATATACTTAAATTTCTCCACGTATTGTTATAAAAGTCTGTAATAATAATTCTGACCTGACTAGCTAATGCGGATGGGGAATTGGAAGCATTAGTCTCCATTGGTGGTCCTGGAAGTGAAAGTAGTTTATTTCACATGTAATACATATTGCTATAAAACGGCTTCACTTTCCATCGCTGCTCACCGGCTACAGCAGAGAGCCATTAAATCAACCGTCTTCTCTTCCTGGCAAACAGCAGGGTATCGGTTGCCAAAACTGCAGAGCATGTGCTGCTTTGTGGAAGAGATCATTCCCCACGCTGGTGGTCACTATATGTGTTCTTAAAGGGAGCCTGTTAGGATACAAATATCAGAGCCAGGGGCGGACTGACCATTTGGAAACTTGGGCACTGCCCAAAGGGCCCGGGGTGAGTAGGGGGCCCATGAGATGCCCCTGGTACATTTTTCATAGGCTTTTTTGAATTTGGGCAAGGACATGGGGCCCCATGATCCCCTATTGCCCGGGGGCCCCATGAGTTGTCAGTCCGCCCCTGATCAGAGCCATTATTTATTTATTTCAGGTACTTATATAGCGCCATCAATTTATACAGCGCTTTACATATATATTGTACCTTCACATCAGTCCATAATCCTCAAGGGGGTGTACAATCTAAGGTCCCTAACTCACATTCATATATACACATACTAGGGACAATTTAGACAGCAGCCAATTAACCTACCAGCATGTCTTTGGAGTGTGGGAGGAAACCGGAGTACCCGGGGGAAACCCACGCAAGGCATTAGTGCACCAAAATGAAAATTCTGGTGTAGAAATTGAAATTTCAGGATGCATTTGGCTGAAAACTGGAACGTCTGTGTATGTGGGAAGGCTCAAATTATTATTATTTTTTTTTTTTTTTTTGTTTTTTTTGTTGTTGTTTTTTTACTTTTAATGTGTTTTTATTTTTTGTTAACTCATGATTTTATTTATATCACATAGGGGACCAGCAGTCCCCAATGTGATAGCATATAAGTGACAGGTCCTCTTTGTAGGGTGCGGTGGGGGCAGTGTGTGCAAGGAGGGGACAGGAGAGGAGCAGTGTATACAGACGGGCTCCCTCACTTGCCGCCGCTAAATGTCATTTGCCGGCTTTTAAATGCTATTGTCGGATTTTTTTTTTCCTTTACTTTGTAGCTCCAGTAAGGAGCTGCCATTCACCCCACCGCTAAAGTAAAGAAAGGAGCGGGGTCACTAGGTAATGTCACAGGGTGACCCCGCCCCTTTGTTTACTTTAGTGGCGGGAATATTGACAGCTCCTTCTCCAAGCTATAAAGTGAAGGGAAAAAAAAGCCGGGAGTTGCATTTAAAAACCGGCAAATGACATTTAGCGGCATCACGTGAGGGACCCTGTCTGTATACACTGCTCCTCTCCTGCCTTTCTCCGCTGACACCCCCCTGTCTGCAGTACACACAGCCCCCCCCCAAACCCCCCAGCCAAATAGTCAGTCCGCCCCTCATTGGGGCCAGGTCTCTCATTATCGGCTCACTTTTTTCTATCGGCAAAATGCCGTTAGGGCTATTTTCTGGCAATATGTTTTGGCTGCCGAAATTTCGGTGCATCTCCAGGTGCTATTATCTGCTTACTATTGAAGTGTATATCAGGGTAAAATTTTAAAAAATTTAAAAAAAAAAGTAAAATCTTCAGTTTGTCAAAATGCTGCAAGTACAGAAAAAACTATCAGTTGAAATCCATGAGCTCCTAACCTCAAGTTTTGTTTTTTGACATTTCAAAAGGTAAAAAAAAGTAGTAAGAACCTAACACAACATTCCTACATTGCGCACACCAGCGCACGTGCGTTAACAGACACATTTGTGTTTTGTACGATTTGAGGTTTTATTTGTGTCCCCACTTTGCAGATTCAGCCTTTCTATTCGTATTGGTCACCATTGTCTCTGGTACAGAATGCAATGAGAAATCCATCATTTTGGAGTTGTTACAGGAACAGGGAGCGAGAGGAAATCTTACAGGGGGGGGGGGTTGTTCCGTTGACCACTATCTCAGAGGAGATTCCCCCTTACTTCCTGTGTGTCCGCTGGGGAAGGAAGTGAAGGGAAGCCTCTCTGTCTGAATGAAAGCTGACATGGGGGGGGGGCACTTAAAGTAAAATTTCAGCCTAATTAGCCACAGAATAAGGGCCATAGGGTGGGCTGCGTGCGTCTCCCTGGGCTGCAGTTTAGACACTGGGGGGGTATAAGGCCTCATGCGCACAAGACGTTTTACAGACTCTCCTAGAAGCCTTTCTTCATGGTAGCAGCATTTTGGCAGAAAAAAAATACCTGATGCTTTTACAAGTGTTTAGGCGCTTTTACAGGCGTAAAGCGCTTGGGGGGAATTAATTTCACTGGCAGCAATAATATTCTGGACATTGAAATGAATGAACGCTCAACTGCTAAACGTGCCTACCGTTAAGTGTTTAGACGCATCAAGCGGGTTTTTTTCTGCCACAACTGTTCTGCTCCTGAACTTACTTGTAGAGAGGTGTTTTGTTTTTTGTTTGTTTGTTGTTTGTTTGTTTTTTTGTTTTTCTTCCTCTAAAGGCTCCTGCCACTAAATGCTGCTAAAAGCTTGTGTATGCATGGACACATGCAGGGGAGTTTAGGGGCAGGAAAAAAAAATGCCTAACGCCCCTAGAAACAGCAGCAAAAATGTCCAGTGTGCAGGGACCCTATGGAGTGGCTGGGTGGTGCAGTTCCCTGATGAACTAGTTTTCCTTTGACTCCTCTCTCCCCCCCCCCCCCCTTTTGTTTTTCTTTTTTTTTTGTCTTTTCTTCTATTTCCTCCTTCCCTTATTTTCTTCCCCCTTCCTTTTTATTTTCTCTTCCTTTTCTTTATAGAATGCAAAATTGAAAAATCTGGTATGCTCAGTCCCTAAGAACTAGTTCTGCTGTGGTCTTCCCTCTTTCCTGACCCTCTAGTTTTGACTCCACAGACACTGTATGGGGGGGGGCATTTATTTTATTTATTTCAGGTACTTATATAGCACCGTCAATTTACGCAGCACTTTACATATATATTGTACATTCACATCAGTCCCTAACCCTCAAGGGGTGTACAATCTAAGGTCCCTAACTCACATTCATACATACACATACTAGGGACAATTTAGACAGGAGCCAATTAACCTACCAGCATGTCTTTGGAGTATTGGAGGAAACCGGAGTACCTGGAGGAAACCCACGCAGGCACAGGGAGAACATGCAAACTCCAGGCAGGTTGTGCCGTGGTTGGGATTTGAACCAACGACCCTAGTACTGCCAGGCGGAAGTGCTAACCATTTAGCCACTGTGCTGCCCATGTAAGGTGTTCTCTCTCTGTATAGATGGCTCAGTATTTACTTTTTGGGATGTTACACAGTTGTTCTGTTTATTTTATGTGGTTGGTGAAGCTTTTTTTTCATGGCATTTTTCATTGTTACTGTCGCATGCTACTAAATAAAAATTATGAAAAAAAAAAAAACATCCAGCGTGCATGAGGCCTTAAGGAAAGTATCTGAAGAGTTTGGAAAGCCAGAGCAAAGCTCTGGTCCAGTCATGTGATCACCTGTGTCAGCCAGCGGCAGCTGCATGGGAGAGGAGGGGTGCTAACAACTGATGGGACATAGGGACCTATGGGTGACATCACTGCTCCAGGCTTTACCAGCCATTGTTAGCACTCCCTCCTCTTTGCTGCAGCCCTTGCTGGCTGACCAGGGGAGATCACTTCCAGCAGTGGCCTGAAAATAGGTAAGGCCAGCCATAGATTTTACTGTTTTCTTTTCTTCAAGCATAGGATAAGACTGGAATTTTGCTTGAAACTTTCTCTACTATATCTAAAACCTAAAAAAAAAAAAAATAGATTACAGGACCACTAAGTAGTGTATATGTATGGATTATTTATAGAGAATATGGATCTGGTTTAGTGTCACTTTAAGGCCTCCTATATATAGTTACATAGTTAGTCTGGCTGAAAAAAGACAAAAGTCCATCCAGTTCAACCATAGAAAAAAAAAAAAAGTTATAATCCTATACCCACAGTTGATCCAGAGGAAGGCAAAAAAATCTAGCAAAGCATGATCCAATTTGCTCCTGATGGGAAAAAAATTCCTTCCTGATCCCCCCGAGAGGCAATCGGATATTCCCTGGATCAACTTTACCTATAAATGTTATATCCAGTTATATTCTGTGTATCTAAGAAACAATCCAGGACTTTTTTGAAGCAATCCACTGAGCTGGCCAGAATTAACTCTTGAGGGAGTCTATTCCACAATTTCACAGCTCTTACTGTGAAGAAATCTTTCTGTGTTTGGAGTTTATAGAAAATAAAAATAAATATATCATGAAGGTTTGCCATCACTGCTTTACAGTTTGGTCTCATGTATTTTGCCCATTCCCAGCACCCTTCAGTCTTTGGCTCACAACTCAGGATCCCTCGACATTGAAAGTAAAAGAAATAAAAAAAAAAAAAAGAAAACACTACATCGGCTTATGAGCATCCCGTCACCTCTCCCAAAAATAATAAAAGCTGTAACGTTGTGTTCTTTCCACACTGGCAGCTCTGGGTGTTTGCGTCTTGCTGTGCGGACTCATTCCAGCAGATCACAGCTCATTATGTTGTTGGAAAAGTTTGCTGTAAGTGGGAAGAGTTTTGTGCCCCGGGGAGAAGACGGAGATGACTGAGAATCTCTGATCTGGTTTTGTCTTGCAGAGTCGGCAGCTGGAATCGGAGACGGGCACCACGGAAGAGCACAGCCTGAACAAAGAGGCACGCAAGTGGGCGACCCGAGTGGCGAGGGAGCATAAGAACATCATCCACAGCCAGCGTGTAGGTATAGTAGAAGCACACCGGGCTCCTCCCGCTGCTTGACATGCCTCGATGTTTTCATGAAACCTCTGTGTGCTTTAGGTAGCTATTGTATGTTTTATATTCATTTTATTGTATTTTCCTTTTGTATTTAATCATTTTGGGGTGCTTTGCCAGGGCTTAGATTTATCTCCTTGTAGTGACAGGGCATGCCTTCTCCTTCTCACCTCTTACACTCTCCTGTTGGTCAGCTAAGCAGTCCATAGTAGTGATGGGCCTGAAGGAGTGGAAGAGGGTAGGCAAGCTACCACACCACCAAGAAAATGGTGGAGCTTTGCCTGGTCTCCGCTATCTGGTGTTTGGGTGGAGCTGAGGCACTAATAAACCACCTGCTGTTTCTTTTTCCTATTTTTTCCACTTTGAGAGTCTGTCATTTTGCCAATTCAGCACAAAGTTGCAGGTTTTGTTGATAGGGTAACCCTCAAGCCCATGGATACCAACCTTCCCGTGTAGTGATCACCAGCTGGGATTGTTAGTTTCTAGCCTCACTGTGATTTATTGTTAATAGTAACGTGTGCATTGCATGAAAATGTGCATCCTTGTGGGTACATCCATGTGTACATTTCAGCCCTTAGTATGTACATGTAGATTTAACCACTTCAAGTCCAGACACTTTCACCCCCTTCCTGTCCAGACCAGTTTTCAGCGCTATCGCACTTTGAGTGACAATTGCGCAGTCATGCAACACTGTACCCATATGAATTTTTTAGCATTTTTTTGAGACCGATAAAACTATTTTTTGGTGGTATTTATTCACCGCTGGGATTTTTAATTTTTTGCTATATGAATGAAAAAATCCAAACATTTTGAAAAAAGTGTTTTTCTTATAAAATTTTGCAAATAAATAATCTTTCTTCATAAATCTTGGCCAAAATTTATTCATCTATCTTTTTAGTGAAAAAAAAAAACCCAAATTAGTTTAGAACTAAAAATTAGAATTTTTCAAAAAAAGTTTTACATTTTTTTTTATTTTTTTTATTTTTTTTTTTTATTTATTATTTTTTAACATACTGTCACCCTAGCAATACACTGTCACCATAGTGACACTGTACTTGTGGGGGGTGATGAAGATATATATATATATTTTTTTACACTGATTGCTTTTACACCCATAAAGGCTGTAAAAGCAATCATTTCTCCTCTCTGGCTGCATTCTTGCAGCCGTTGACAAATACTGTGGGAGCTGTGATTGGTCACAGCTTGTCACATGGTACAAGGCTGTTGTGAATAGCTTTGTACCATGTGACCTCTGTGATCTTTCACAGATTTCACAAGTAGTAAGCAATGATGTCAGGAAGTGACATCTTGCTTACTACTATTCATGTGATCACTGATTGGCCAATCAGTGATCACATGATCAGGACCTCACACAGAGGTCCTGTACAGCAGTCGGTGTTCCACTGTGCCCGGCCCGTAGGACACAGCGGGTACCGGATCGCGGTGCCGCACGCTCCTAGGGAGTGCGCACAGGCAGGGAAGCGGGGAGGACGTTTATAAACAGCCACCTGCCCTGCACTGCTCCTGTCCAGCCATTTATATACACGGGCCAGACGGGAAGTGGTTAAAGAGTAACTCCTACCTGTTTCAGCTCCGAAGAAAAATCTGTTTGTTGCGCTGTGTCCTTGGATACAGATTCTGAACAGGAGGGACTGCATAGACTATAATTAGCTAATGCACTCTTTGTGTTCTATAGAGAAAAGTTGCAGTGTCTGCATCGTTTTAGAGTATCTCACAAAAAATGACATTCTTATCGCAGGGGATGCCTAAAATCAGACTTCTACTTTAGTGAAGAGTTCTGGGAACGTCGGTGAGCCAATCACACAAGAAGGAACTGACATTTCTGGGGGGGGGGGGGGTAGTCAGTACACCAACAGTGTACAAAACATCTCCAGGTTGCCATATTGAAATAATTTTTACGGAAAATTACGGCTTTTGGAGACCGAAAAGGAAAAGTATTTTTTAATAACTTTCAATTACAACATGGCTTGTGCAGCAATTGTATATGATATCATTTTTTTTTTTTTTTCATTTGCTATACATTTTTATGTGAAAGTGGAGTGAACCTTTAAAAGAAGTATGGGGTGTGGTTTTTTTTTTTTTTTCTTTTTTTTTTTCATTTTCAACTCATACTTACCTAGGTCTATACTTACCTAGGTCTATGCAGTATCAGTCTGATGCTGTATATGTCCCCCTCCGGCTCTTAAGTGTGCGAACTCAGCGATCACATGACCACATGAGTTCTCACTGCGCGGGAGAGCTGTCTGCTCTATCGCCCCAACCCCCTTTACTTACACCCCCCCGTTCTAAAAGAGCCATCAGCATGAGACATAAAACTGCTTGAATCACCCAGCAATAGATTTGTGTCCTCAGGATACTTACATAAAGATACCCTGGGCTCCAGGTGGGTCTTACAGATCATCCACGAGCTGTGGGTACAAACCTACTGAGGTCTGTTCCTGCTTTTAGTTATCCAGATACAAACAGACAGACTGCACTTACTGTAGGCTGTTTTTTTTTCTTTTTTGGGGGGGGGTTCTTTTGCAAAGAATTTTATTATAGAATAGGTAACAGCAGAGAATCAGTCGAAAACAGATACATTGACCGACAGGAATGAAACATACAAGGGATTCGATGAGTAATACAGAATATGTACTGATGAAAATAAACTGCGTACACAAGTGCCGTATGTACAATAATAAAAAAAAAAAGGGAAAAACACAATAAATTGCAAAAATGATGGAGATTTAGAGAACAATGACATAAACTCTAAGAAAAAATTGTCACTATATCAGCATACAGAAGGCGGGTAAGATGGGAAATGGAGCCTCTCTGAATACAGATAGGTACTCCACACGCAGGGCTCTCAAAGGAGTCCAGCATATGGATGTAGTATTGCTGGTACGGCACTCAAAGCAGAAATCACATTTTGGGGGGGTTTTAATTTGATACCCAACAAACTTTATTGCAAGTAGTACAGACCAGGGCATAGTTCTACATCCGGCTGTCGTAGTGAGGGTTAGGTAGCCCAGGTTTTAATTTGCGAAGCAAAGTCAAAGCAGAGAGAACATTTGATGGCATCATTTTTCAACCTTGCATCCTTGTTGCAGAGTCACTCTATCCAGTACATTGTCTCATTACAGGCCCTGGATGATTTAGAGTGTCAGAGCACGCCGCCATCAGAGCAAGGCCGGTTGGAACTGGAGCAGAAAATCGAGGAAGCCAGAGAGAGTATTCGTAAAGCAGAGGTAAGTGAGCGCAGTTCGAAGTTCGTTCGCTTTTTGTGCGATTCGCTCTGCATTATATATTGAATACATCTGCATTTCATTGATATTTGTACCAAGACTCTCAACTTCTATGTAGTGTGAGGTTTTCAGCTTTCCAAGCAACAATTGAGAAGACGTTACTAAGATTGCACTATCTACTAATTAGTTTTAAAGTGTTACTAAACCCTCAACAGTACAATCAGTCTGTATATGCAGTAAAGCATGCTTGTTATACTCATTGTGGAACCTGAGGGGTTAATCCTCTGCATTGTGTAAAAAGGCTGTTTGATCCTGACTTCTCTGATCCTCCCCTTCTTTTTATTGTCCCCAATCCATTTGCCATAGTACAGAGCAGCAGTGGCAAGTCTGCACATGCTCTATTTGGTGTATCATGCTAAAGAGTTTTTTTGGGGAGGAGGGGAAGGTGCATATGATCGGCACAGGGTCAATTGACACTGTCCAAACAGACAGTCAGGGGTCATGCAGTCTCATAGGACAGTCCGAGAAGAATGAAAACTCCCCCTACAAGATTAACCAGTGCCCAGCCAGAGACTGACGTCACAAGACTGCTTTATAGTTTGATGAGAAAAAGTATTTACCAGTTTATATTTACTAAACTAATTGCCATTTCCATATTCTGTGTATATAATGAATGCAGGGTCCTGGGAGACCAGATATAGTGAATGCAGGGTCCTGGAAGATCAGATATAGTGAATGCGGGGTCTGGGAAGACCAGATATAGTGAATGCAGGGTCCAGGGAGACAAGATATAGTGAATGCAGGGTCCTGGGAGACCAGATATAGTGAATGCAGGGTCCGTGGGGAGACCAGATACAGTGAATGCGGGGTCCGGGGAGACCAGATACAGTGAATGCGGGGTCCGGGGAGACCAGATACAGTGAATGCAGGGTCCTGGAAGATCAGATATAGTGAATGCGGGGTCTGGGAAGACCAGATATAGTGAATGCAGGGTCCGGGGAGACCAGATACAGTGAATGCGGGGTCCGGGGAGACCAGATACAGTGAATGCAGGTTCCTGGGTTTAGTAACAGTTTGAAAATCTCTTTCCTTTAGGCTTGGTTCACACCTATGCATTTTGCTTTTGATCTGTTTCTGCGGTGCTTTTTCGGTACATATTTAATTTTTGCACCTGTGTTTTTATTGCATTTTTCACGCTTTTTTGATGCAGTTTTTATACTTTTTTTTGGAGGGGGACCAATTTGTTATTGAGCAGATTAAAAAAACGCATAAAAAAACTCCTTGTCTGTTGAACCAAAAATTCACCGTTTTACATTTAAAAAAAAGTCCCTGACCCTTTCCAAAAATGCAGAAGCTGAAAAAAAGCGTAGATGTTGGATGTGTCCCAAACCATGTTAAATGGACTGTAGTGCGTTTCTGCAAAAAGCACAGGTGTGACTATGGCTGTGCAGCAATGCACATTACAATGTAAGCCAGCCTTTTTTGGCATTTTGTATAGAGTAAGGGAGAGTTGTAACCCCTGTCAGGTTTTTTGGTTTTGTTTTGTTTGTTTTTTTTGTTTTTTTCCAATCCATCTGTGTTCCATTGGGGAGATCTCCCTTCACTTCCTGTCCCGTAGCCAAAGTAGGAAGTGAGAGGAAATACCTTCAAAATAAGGAGAATCCCGGGATGTCACCAGAACTAGTGTCCCCATTGGAAGACTTCTCTTCCAGGGGCGGACTGACCATTTGGAAACTCAGGCACTGCCCGAGGGCCCGGGGTCAGTAGGGGGCCCCATGATATGCCCCTGGTACCTTTTTCATAGGCTTTTTTGAGTTTGGGCAAGGACACAGGGCCCCATGATCCCCTATTGCCTGGGGGCCCCATGAGTTGTCAGTCCGCCCCTCTTCTATTACTTTTCTGGGGACAACCCAAAATTTTGGATTTTCTTTCACTTTTGATGGTAATGGTAAACAGGACAAATAGGGAGGGTGAATCTCGAAAACGGAGGAACAGACAGCAATAAAAACAGCCAGGTGTTCTAATCCCTCTAGAGTCTATCCAAAACTTAAAAAAGAAAGTTTTGCTTTACTCACTTCCCCAGGAAGCGCTGCCGGAGCGGGTGGACGTTTCTAAACCTCCCCCCGCATCCCATGCCTGTGCGTGCTCCCTGGGAGCGGGCGGCACCGCGATCGATGCCCGCTGTGTTCGTACGGGACCTCTATGTGAGGTGCCGATTCATGTGATCACTGATTGACCAATCAGTGATCACATGAATAGTAGTAAGCTTCCTGACATCATTGCTTACTACTTGTGAAATCTGTGAATGATCACAATTATTAATATTCACAACAGCCTTGTGCCATGTGACAAGCTGTGACCAATCACAGCTTTCACAGTATTTCTCAATGTCTGCAGGAATGCAGACAGAGAGAAGGAGAAATGATTGCTTTTACAGTCTTTATGGGTGTAAAAGCAATCAGTGTAAAAAAAAAGAAAAAAATCTTCATCATCCTCCACTATGATAAACACTGTACTGCTAGGGTGAAATAATAATATAAAAATGTAAAGAAACATTTTTGAAAAATTAAAATTTTTGGTTGTAAGCTAATTTTGGTTATTGTTTTTTTTTACTAAAAAGATAGCTGAATGCATTTTGGCCTAGATTTATGAAAATTATTTATTTGCAAAATTTTAAAAGAAAACCCTTTTTTTTTTTTTTTTTTTTTTTCAAACGTTTTGGACTTTTTCATTTATATAAAAAATAAAAATCCCAGTGGTGAATAAATACCACCAAAATAAAGTTTTATCTGTCTCAAAAAAAATGCAAAAAAATTCATATTAGTACAGTATTGCATGACGACGCGCAATTGTCATTCAACGTGTGATAGCACTGAAAGCGGAAAATTGGCCTGGACTGGAAGGGGGTTAAAGTGTCCGGACATGAAGTGGTTAAGGAACACTTTAACCCCTTGGCCCTTTAAGGGTTTCAAAAGCCGGAGGGGTTGTCACGGCGGTCACATGATCGGGAGAGGTCCCGATCGAAAGAGGAGATCAGGACCTTTACATGAGTACCGGACATGTGCGCTGGGAGCAGGCAGGGCGTTTGCTCTCAGCATGTATGTTTTTCTTAATTGCACGCAAATGTGCGGCTGCTCAGTGTCTAGGCCCAGACGCCGGGGGGCCGCACATTTGCGTGCGGCCGGCGTGAGGAGGTTAAACATTTTAGTGCAATACATTTCTATAGCACAACGTACAAACTTGCAGTGGGTTGTGCTGCACTGACATGTTGTGGGGCACTGCCGAAAAATGGCAGCATTTTATGTCGTTATGTTGGTGCGTGTTGTGCCACAACACAGGTCTGTTGGAGTGCTGTTGAGAATGAATGGCACCACATTGCACTAATGCTTTTAACATGTGTTGCTGCCATTTGTGTGAACAAAACAAAGAAGGTAGGGAGCATTAAACTGCTTCACCGTGCCAGAGCATCTTTAGCTTTCATTCAGGAGAATAAAGAATCAGAGACTTTTTTAATTGATTTTTTTCCCAGCCACGAAGAAGTTAAACGTGTAGCAATTCACTTTGGAGCAAGTAGGTCTAATGAAAATCAATATCTGCTTTTTAAGTTTTTTCAGCATTCCAACCATTTGCTTCATATTATAGGCGTGATCTTCTGTCTGCAATTTTATCCGGGTAATAATTTCTGTATTGTGTGTGGCCTCCCCCGACCCAGAGAGCCATAAAGGTTTTTATTAGGAGAGGCTCACTGTATAGCATTGCAGCAGTGTGATAACAAAGCTTCGCCTTCTAATTTATGGCCCAAGCCAGTTTCTGATTATTCTACTTGCAGCTTTTGTTATGTTTGTTGTGTTGAGACACACAGAGATCCCGCCATCCGCCTTCCTGCTTACATGCGTCTCCTCCTGCTGCACTTTAATTAAGATTTAATTAGCATTGTTACAAATAGAAGTAATTATAACCTCCTGCTGCAAACATATTCATTTGGAAGAGAGTTGCAGCTGCTTCAATGGCCTTTGTGCATACGCTGGCCGTGGTATCTGCGCTTTTCCTTCAAGAGGACCTGTTTTGCATGATTTGAGGAATAACAGTGTTGTACTACCTTTATCTGGGGCTGTACTTCTCATTCAATTGTAAGGCATATAGTTACATAGTTAGTCTGGCTGAAAAGACAAAAGTCCATCCAGTTCAACCATAAGAAAAAAAAAAAAAAGTTATAATCCTCTACCCACAGTTGATCCAGAGGAAGGCAAAAAAATCTAGCAAAGCATGATCCAATTTGCTCTTGCTGGGAGAAAAATTCCTTCCTGATCCCCCGAGAGGCAATCAGATATTCCCTGGATCAACTTTACCTATAAATGGTATATCCAATTATATTCTGTGTATCCAAGAAAGAATCCAGGACTTTTTTGAAGCAATCCACTGAGCTGGCCAGCATCAACTTTTGAGGGATTCTATTCCACATTTTCACAGCTCTCACTGTGAAGAAACCTTTCTGTGTTTGGAGATTACATTTTTTTTCCTCCAGACGTAAAGAGTGCCCCCTTGTCCTCTGTGATGACCTCAGGGTGAATAACTCTACACCGAGTTCACTATATGAACCACTGATGTATTTATACATGGAGATCATATCCCCCCTTATGTATTATAGGGAGATCATATCCCCCTTATGTATTATACATGGAGATCATATCCCCCTTATGTATTATACATGGTGATCATATCCCCCCTTATGTATTATACATGGAGATCATATCCCCTTATGTATTATACATGGAGATCATATCCCCCCTTATGTATTATACATGGTGATCATATCCCCCCTTATGTATTATACATGGAGATCATATCCCCCCTTATGTATTATACATGGAGATCATATCCCCCCTTATGTATTATACATGGAGATCGTATCCCCCCTTATGTATTATACATGGAGATTATATCCCCCCTTATGTATTATACATGGAGATCACATCCTCCCTTATGTATTATACATGGTGATC